TTTCGATGTCTGATTTCAGTGCTTCAGCTGGTATGTTGTCGGGTCCTGCTGCTTTGCCGTTCTTGATTTGTCTGACGGCCATTCTAATTTCTTCCGTAGTTGGTGGATTGACATCTATAGGAAGATCTATGTGTGCTGCTTCGATGTCCGGTGGATTCATTGGAGCCGGCCTATTCAGGAGTTCCTCGAAGTATTCTACCCATCTGTTACGTTGTTGTTGAATTTCGGTGATTGGCTTGCCTTCTTTGTCTTTGACCGGTCTCTCTGGTTTACTGTATTTCCCTGATAGTTTCTTCGTTGTATCGTAAAGCTGTTTCATATTTCCTTCTCTAGCAGCTTTTTCTGCCGTCGTTGCTAGTTCTTCCACGTATTTCTTCTTGTCGGCTCTAATGCTCCTCTTCACTTGTTTGTTTGCTTCTATGTATTCAGCTTGTGCTTGGACTTTCTCTGCTCGTGTTCGGCTGTTGTTTATTGCTGCCTTCTTGTTCTTCCTTTCTTTGATCTTGTCCAGTGTTTCTGTAGAGATCCATTCCTTATTATGGTATTTCTTTAGACCGAGAACCTCTTGACACGTTGAAGTCAATGCTTCCTTGATGCCTTTCCAGTTGTCCTCCATAGTAGTTTCTTCTTCTTTCAGTAGATCTCGTAAGGCTTGGAACCTGTTGTTGAGAGCTATCTTGAATTCATTGAGTTTGTTAGTATCTCGAAGGAAGGCTGTATTGAACCTTTGTATTGCTGTTTGTCCACTTGTCCAGTTCTTTTTTAGCTTCAGTTTTAAATTGGCTACAACTAGGTGGTGATCTGAAGCTACGTCAGCACCTCTCCTGGTTCTCACATCTTCCATTGTCCTTCGGAATTTTTTGTTGATGCAAATATGATCTATTTGGTTCTCTCTAGTGTGGTCCGGTGAGATCCATGTAGCCTTGTGTATACGCTTGTGTGGAAATATTGTGCCTCCTATGACCAATTTGTTGAATGCACATAGATTTGCAAATCTTTCTCCATTTTCGTTTCTCTGTCCCAGTCCATGTCGTCCCATAATATCTTCATATCCAGTGTTGTCTATTCCGACTTTGGCATTTAGATCTCCCATTAGAATGGTGAGGTCTTTTGTTGGGCATTTCTCTATGATTGACTGCAGCCGCTCGTAGAATTGATCTTTAATATTGTCGTTGCTATCATTGGTGGGTGCATAACATTGGATAATATTCATTAAGATCCCCTCCTTCTTTGTTTTGAATGATGCTTTGATGATCCTGGATCCGTGAGATTCCCATCCTACAAGTGCATTTCGTGCTACTTTGGACAGCATAAGAGCGACTCCCTGAGTGTGTGGAGCATTGTCCTCTTCGTGACCGGAGTATAGCAGCATCTCTCCCGTAGCTAGCCTTTTCTGTCCAGTTTGGGTCCAGTGGGTTTCGCTGATTCTCAGTACTGCTAAGTTGTATCTCCTCATTTCCATTGATATTTGACTGGTCTTCCCGGTTTCCCACATTGTTCGAACGTTCCATGTACCTATAAAAATTTTTGCTCTGGTTGTTAGAAGGGGCATCGGCCTCGTGGCTTCCGAAGGAACTCGGCTTTCACCATGAAGCGTCATAATTCTTCTAAATGAAGACCTTCTAACTCCCAGGGCAGAGTTAAAATGGTTTGGATTATTTTTTCTGGTAAGCGTTTTTTTAGCGAGTTAGTTTTCTACGGGATGGGGACGCTAACCCCATGCCCAACCCTCCTCCTTTACCCGGGCTTGGGACCGGCAGCAACCCTATAAGAGCTACAGGCGGAGTTATGTTTGTTGATACGCAGATTTAATTTCGAGCTACATTTAAAATTGATCAAAGCTATAGCTTATTTCACATAAATATTACTTACGAACGCGGATCTAAGCAATTAACACTTTAACTTATTTAGAGAATATAAACAATCTATTTGAACTAAATCATTTATGTAAGAGCTAGTGATATACTAATCAGTGATTCAAACAGAAGTATGTTAATTAGGGTTCGGAAACCTTACTGACCATTTTAACCAACAATTTCTATCTACAAACATTCTATGACAAATATAACTAATGATCATATCAGATCATTTCGTTTATTAAAGATCTTAACTGGTAGAACACAGTGAGTTTAAACAACTAAAAGATAATAACGATCATTATCATACGTGAATTTCATGCATCAAATAAAGTTACAACTTGTGCTACTTAGTACATTATAAAATCTTCTCAGTAAGTGATATTTGTCCAAATGGATCTTGTTATCAGGCTCGGAGGTCAGTTCAACTTTAAATTTCATCCTATTTTCCTCAAGAAGAAAATCTATAGTAAGGGTGACTGGAAAGTGATAATCACCGTATACATCTAGCAGCATTCAGATAAACTATACCCACGACTATGCTTTTTCTATTCTATTCTAAACCATTTCCTTCATTTTATCTTGTCCAATATGCATAAAAAATTCAGACGACTAGAGAAAACAAAATGTCTTCATCGATCTCCTGGAACTTCACTTTTAAGTAAACACCAGAGCCAGGATAAGACCAAATGACAAGCTTCAGGAACTAAAACGTTAGAATTTCGTGTCATCGATATATGCAGTTTCCCCAAATTCTTTATCAAATGAGATGGTTGGGACATGTACTACATATCCCCGCCCACCACCTTCGACGAGCGATGTTATCTGGCGTAGGACGTGAGAAAGCTTGGGGTGTCCGAACAAAGACGTCGTACCGGTCTACGAGAAGTCATTGATAACTGGACTGAGCCAGCGTACTAAAAACTTTATGGCAAAATAAAGCTAATCTAATTCGAATTCACTGCATTCCCTGCTTATAAATGAAGAACACCCTCTTGGAACTCATCAGCGTCAAGCCTAGATTCATTGTACAAAGTGAAGTAGTCGAGCGTGTTAACCACTTCACTTAGCAGCCTCATCAAGAATGGAAGTCTGATGGCTAATTGGATCTTGACAGGGACGTAAGAATGCCTGCTTCTCTTATCGCACGAACAAAGAGCGAGTACACTGCACAGCAGCCTATATTCCTGTGGCCACGAAATATGGTCTATAGAAGCAGGATACATGAGTAAGCTCCGATTATTTAACAGAATCCTTTGAAACACAGTGCCTATATGGTGAAACTTCAACTGACCAGTGTGGAGGCGAGGAGTAAAGTGAAAATGACAAGTTGGTGGGAGGTGATAAACCTTCATCAGTAGAAGTAGTTATTACAAATGAGAAGCATTTTTAGCCACTGCCTACCCTGATATTCACTAGTGGCTGGCAATGTTGGGAAAAAGACGAGATGACAAACTAACACGTGATATTAGCACAGAACATTTTTGAATGCTCACCTAAGCTATGTGGAGGCTTCCTAGTTAAAACTCGAGCAATATTAATAAACCGTGGTTGGATACTTTGAATGACGGGACCAAAATTTAGCCCGACTCATGTAGTTACGTCCATTTCTTCCTCATCTAGATTTTGAGTTGTGTCACACAATACTTTCACATTCTTGAACCGTATTCCCCATGAGTAGGTCTTCAAATCACTAACTTCGACCCATACACATTCATGCCAGGTATTACATCCATCGTTAACCACTTACGACCGGAAGACACTAATTTCATACTGGGTGATAACTTGTCGAGAGTATGTATGCATACACAATTGTAGCCGTTATATATCCGTTCAACGGTTCATCACTTTACACAAATAGCTTTGTTCACGTTATCACTCAAAAATAAACGGGATACCTAGTTTACGAAAATAAGCTCTATCTAAGAAGCGCATCATATCCATTACATTAAACGCCCTTCTGCCGAAGCGATGAACTAATTGGGTTTCAAGACATGCTTTCCATGAATCATTCCTGCGCCAACCAATATCTTGATAAATTCAATGTCTTGCCAAACTGCGAGTAAACATTACCTAAAATAATGATAGCAACTGACTGGAATAACTTCACATAGCATCCCCGAGAACCCCAGAATTACTCATTTCAATACTACATGAAGTGAAAGACAGTCGATTACGACTCCGCTAAGAACCAAATTTCAGGAACATTTCCAAAATAGATATCACTAAATTTCAAAGGCGAACCTGAACATCAAGAGTTTTGCTTACGAACTCTTTCCTACAGAAGTATGACATATCTACCTACTTCCTAGACAGATCTAATGACTGTTGGCTCCGTTAAACTAATGTTTGGTGGTGAAAGCTTGCGAACAAATTTTGTGACTGGATACATTTTTTACAACCAACCATACGAAGTGAACGAAAGACTTGTCACTATTGACTCTTAGTATTATAATTACAATCCTTTAAGTATTGGAACCCACCTATGAACTGACTTTTATTCCAACTAAATATTGGCTCATATGTAAGGTCGGCATTGCCATATAAATAGATGGTTACTTGAGTCATCAGTAAATTCTACGGTACGGTAACTTCACATGAAGAGTTAGTTAAGGTAACTCACCAACAACGGACTTTATGCACTCAGTGTAGGAGCACAGTTTGTGTGAGGGCTAATGAAGCGTGTTCCAAAATGAAGTTGACGGAGCGAGTTAGGGATTTCTGACTTATTGGCTGAAACCGAGTATCTTAAAATTTGATAAGCGAAGAGAATAGAGAGGTTCTCAATTTTTCCGTAATATAAGACCCCAAACATATGTTCACAAACTGATATTTTATCTAGGCCGTAGCTCACAGTGACAACATAAACCTGTTTGATTCTGAACATATATGCTCAATACACCAAGAATGATATATTAAACTAAACTAGACTTGATCAAATTCCCTGAGCATTCCAATAATTGTCTTGTGAGGTGAAAAAACGGAGAACAATCTACATGGAACCATTACAGTGCACCAGTACTAAGTGGAAGACATTGATAACATATCTATTAGCATCATGAAATTATACACAAATACAAAAGTAATCACAAAATCTAAGGTTCAAATCTTTGGACTTAGTTCATAAAGCCCGGTATGAAGCATTCATTTTAATTGTGCTGGGTTAGGTTCACAGCTGGGTTCCTGAGGCTCTGCGGAGAGATTACTGTGTGCTTCTTGCCCTCCAAATATTTGCTAAAAGTAAACCAAAAAAATAAGTTCAGCGACGAGGAATTATCCAGGCCATATAAAATACTGACACCAAGTAAAACAGTCGGGTTTTCCGCAGACTTAAAGCATAAGTTTGCTAGCTTTCTTACACAAGTTTCCAACCTCTGTTCAATTACACGCATTTTTACTACCTTTACGTACTTGCTCGCCGATAAATTAGAAAATTCGACATTTTGTGGATTATTTTATTTAAACACATAAACATTGGTACAAGGAGGAACTAAATAGATATGGAGAAAGTAGGGTTTCGATGAACAGCCAATATTCTAAACTAAACTCCTTTACCTCATCCGAACGAGTAACACACTCCTGACGGACCTAAGGCATTAGTGTTGTTTCCAGGGTATGAGTTTGATCATATATCCTGAAACGACTGGGCGACACCTCTTACACACTCATGCCTTAAACTTAATGATCATGCTTTTAGATTGATGGAACCATCACAAACCCAGTTTCCCAGAACACTGGGATGAGATCACTTATACAGTGTTAATCGTTAAAATTCAGCGACAAGAATCCATGATAACGCTCTGGCTTTTCTATACAAAACTTAAAAGGGTTTTGAATGCTTTTCTCATCTGCTAAATAATCGAAATTAACGCCTGAACTAATGATAGAGCGCGAAATAACCGACCATTTACCTTGGAAGTCTCATCAGCCCATGTGTGTTGGGATTTGACGGGATTCTGGCACGAATTTAGAAAGCTAGGCTAGCTTTTGGAAACTTGAGTCACTCATGACACAAGAACAATGTCTGCCAACCAAAGGACAAGTCTGTAGTGTACCAGCCTGGTCAACAAAATATGGCCCTTAAAAACAGATAGTACGCCTAGGTTAATAGTAATTGGTCATTGTTCGTATACTTTAGAACCATCCAGTTAGACGCAAAGTATTAGGTAAGTATAGCGAATCGGTTGATGAAGTAGCGAAACTTTATCAACTGAGATAGTAAGCAAACGTATCACGTACCCACAGCAACCGATTACCTCGTCACGCAATGATGGCTAGTGAAGGATGGAAGGAAGCCAGTGGTGACCAAGTCAAGATACAACTCTAGCTTATGAAGACGCTGACTACTGGAATAGGCCATGTTAATAGGTGCGGAGTATCTGGTTGGGATCCGGGTGATTATTATAACCAACGGTTAGACTGAGTGACATAGCATCAAGTTGTTCACGTTGGCGAAGAGATTATTCCCTTACCTTAGATCCCATTTCTTTTAAATTACTCAATTTTTCCTAGGTTTCAATACTTTATATTTTTTGAAACTTAGATCCAACCCCTAATTTTTACTACCGTCATTACCATTACGTCTACTACTCTGAGGTTTGTTCTGACAATTCAACCTAGCTGTCTAAATGGATTATGGAGACTAAAACCAATGTACCGACGTGCTAGATCTGAAGATGCATTTGATTGAGTGCCTAGTACAACTAAAAAACAAGACTTGATAACTGTAAATTAATCGCGCCAAGCTGATTGGGGATCAGAAGGGACCGAAACATTAAAGATATGCATAATTAGTGCAAGGAGACACTCTGGAAAAAGGCATCTGAAAACTACTTCGTCAGCTTAGTATTCGATTAGACACCGAAAGCTTTACCAGTCTGAACGATGTGTAGTCATATATATATTATGAGTTTACTAAGTAATCAACCAGCCACTTACGTTGTACATTGCATCAATGTGATCACCACTTGAAGCGATGGCACTTAATCTTTCAATTTCAAAGTTCAGCTTCTCAACGAGTTCACACAGCTATAAATATAAGCATTGATGATTCCACCTTACCTGCAAATTTTCATCTAAGGTTTCCTTTAAAGCCACTCGCCTTTGTTCCGCGACGGTTTCCCAATACTTTTCAGGTGCATGCTCTGGTACTTAAGAATATTTACTAGAATGTTACCTGAACACAACCAAGCATTAAGGTCTATGACTTCCACTTGAGTAGCAGTTTCCTTATACTCTTTTGAAGAATTAAGATGCTGATCTTTCTGGCTTTTAGAGCGCAAAGCACCACAATGTTGGCAGTGAGTTTCAATAGGGTCTTGGAAAATAATAAACGGAGCAACTTTGTTGACAACGGGTTTATTGGCAATTGGTTCCTTCACATAATGTTTAGCAGGTACTATTCCAGGCTTTTTCTCGACTGAAAGCTGTGTCTAAACCGTAATGATGTATAGAATGATCCGTACTTTCTTTGGCTCTATATGTTCGGACGTATTCAAAACACGTAATCCCCTACGCTGAGACTCCATCATATTAACAACGACCGACTTCCCGCCCAAAATGTTTGTGATTTATACTCGTGCCGGCTAAACAAATGCACTGTACGTATGAATTCTTCAAAATTCAAACTTTATATTGTAGAAATTTTTCTTGTGAGTCACAATGAGCGTAATACGTCTTGAAAGTATATAAGAGACCTACATCAAACGAGCTTCAAATGGTTTTGAATAAATACAGATAGAATAAAAGAATCATCTCTTCAACAAGCTTACGTGACTGATACAAACGGATCACTGATACCTTCTAACAGGAAAAAACAAAAGGAGTTTTGATAGATCTAAATGGAACGCTACTCTGAATCATTAGGGGAATATCAACTCTTCACTTAAAGAACACCAGGGATTTTATGTACAGGACTTCAGCTATAGGGAGTCCCGACAACCCAAGTTGGCACTTTGAGCTACTAACCTGAGTTCACCCACTCTCCAAAAGTTCGAACCTAGTTAAGTGACCAGATGATTTCCATGTGTATTTGTGATATCATAGATCATGTTAAAGTCGCTGCACAAACTCATTTAGTATAACGGACATACACCAAGTGTTTTCAGGGATTCCATTTAGCGCTCAAACTCCAGATCAAGAAGTGATTTTGTATTTCATCTGTGGATGAACTCTAACGTACTTATTTTCTTTTCGGGGTAGAGGGAAGCAAACCATGTTAGCATACTCTAATCAGAGCAGAATAAAACTGTCTAAAACTAGATAAGAACTCTGAATATCAAGCTAGATAAAAATGTATTGCTGTGTTTGACACGTAGGGGTGTGATTTTAGATTTAAAAGAACCACGAGATTCGAGTATTTTTTACTGATTACATTCAGTCGAAAAATAAATATGACTGTATACGGTGTCTAATCATGATCAGTAAACTCTACGACATATTGATGAAACGCGATTTTGTACATTCTGAGTCGTACTATATGGCTTATTTCAAGACACGCCTAAAGGGTTGCTGAATATTCTTCCCCATTTTTCAGGGCACGTTTCAAATCAGAGAACCATATTATTTATTCTGAGGCTACAGACTCAAGTATTTAGATGTCTTTCCGTAGACCAACTACATATCCAATTTCGTGGCCGTTTAGCTGCTGAAATAAATGATTTAACACTGAAGTAGCCCACGTATTCAGATATCTACGGGTTCCTTCCAAACGGCTAGTTTTATGTACTACTCGTGAGGACATCAATAGTGATTCTGCCAGAGCTTTCGCTTTGCGGAACGAATCTGAAAACGCATGCAATTCAAGACAATTCAATAATTTGTTATCTATCCGAAAGTCACCATGAACTTCATGTGAAGGACTACATCTCCTCCTTTCTTGTCAGTTTCGTTATATATGCCGTCACATATGGTGAAAGAATGAAGATATACACAATGTGAGCCAAAATCTGATTATTTTAAATAACATTATGCAGTCGCTTTCACTTACAACATTACCTCTTGGCGCAGAATACAGCAGATACCCACGTAAGATCCACATTGAAGGCTTGGTGTGTGAACATCCCTCCATGTATACACTTGTAATTTGTTCCTATTGATTCCTTCAGTTGTATATTTTGCGCGTATCTAAACTGTGTAGACAGTTATTCTTCAGTCCAAATTTTAGTTTGGATTCTGCAAGCTAAGCTTAGTTTGATTAATTTGTTGTTGGCACTAGAGGTGTTTAACACATTATTTCTAGAAGCAGTTAATGCAGTGATACTCACCCAAGTATTAGAAATTTTTCAGTTACCTCTATCATGATCCCTAAGCTAGTGAACAATGGTACTATTGAAATTTCATCAGCAAAATATTAGGAAGGTCTTTCTTGTGTTCCTTTCCTTGTTAGTGAAAATGACGTTCAAATATTTTCATGAACTGATAACTCTGACGGAGGTCTAACCAAAGATTCAATTTTGAGATGCTTGAATGTTATGGAAGAAGTAAAATATCCATATAGAACTATTGCTATATGTTAAGCATTTAAAACTGACATACCTCTATTAAAAACCAAATATCATTCACCCAGTATTTTTCGGTAATCAATAGATTCCACGTACTTTTGCAGTGTTATTCGGCCATGTGTATTACAATGAGGTGTTTGAATGAACTGATGATTCCTTTGTACTTGTTAAATGCTGGACTTTGAATTCTAAATACAGTACATTCGTTTGTGCTTATATAATACTTTTTTACCCGATTACGTTATTTCTGGGGATCTTATTTCTTACTCCTAATTATCATATTGGCGTCGCGATAGAGCCTATGATGGAACGGTTAAACATACGTTCAGATTTTGATCCTTATGAAGATTAATTTGAAAGATTCGAACTCTGAGCTATGACCAAGGAAGATGATGAGGATGTTATTAATGTGGTATATATCCTTACATTGATCGAAAAGGAAGCTTACAGCTTATTAAAAACTGTGGCTTTACAAGAAAATCCTATTTCGCTTTCATATACAACTCTCAAGGATCTACTGCTAGACTATGTTAAGTATACAAAGTTCGAATGTGGTAAAAGAGGAAGATTTCGTAAAATGATTCATCAGGTCATCAAAAATTCCACTACGTTACTACGTCATCAGAATCCAGCGTGTACTGAAGGTTATGCAGATGATTCGTTAAGGAGTTGCGATGCAGTTCACGGAGATGAGCACAAGTTTGATGAATGTTTGTCCTGTGACAGCTTTCACTCATTTAATTCATGTGTATTTCGTGATTCTAAATGCTTAAAGTGTGGTAAGATTGGACACAATCAGTCAGATCACGGGTGAACTCGAGGAAGTTGTAAGAGGCTCAGAACGAACCGAAGATATTCCATCCAATAACATTTTGGAAGAATATTCTAGAATTCCTACGTGTAGCTTCCCGATTGGACAATGCTAATAACCCCCTGTATACGGATTGGAGAACTGTAATGATGATTTCGTTCTTCCCAAAAACTATAAACACCTGACTATTTTGTACTATAATGGACACTGTCTGGAATAATATTCCTTTCATTAGTCTTCTGTCTTCTCATTTAGACTTGGAAGGGTTCTAGTGTTCTGGTGCTCAAGTTATACGAGGTATATCAAGAAAAAACCCATCTAGATATAACAGTTATCTAATCGGTACAATAATTTGAAGTGAATGGTTATTAATTATTTCGTGACTTTTATTTTTCTTTTAACCTTGATTAGTATTTTTTCAATAGTTGAGGTCATGAGTCAATTGAAGCTAGACTGCTATGGAAAACCTGGAAGTATTGTGGCGGGTTTCACTCATTTAATTCATTCGTATTTCATGATTTTAAATGCTTTAAATGTGGTAAGATTGGACACATTCAGTCATTTTGTCATACTATGGTTCATTCCGTTGCAACTAATGCTAAGACTTGTAATTGTGATCCTGATAGGTTGAGTGTTTCTAACGATCATTTATCTTTATCTACAACTTCGAAAAGTGGTACAGAGTCACATAGCAGACTAGAATTAAATGAAACTCAGTATCCTTGAGAGACAACAGTTTCTAATCAATCAATTTGTCAGATTTCTCATGTTATTGTACCAGATATGGTTTTTTCTAGTGATTCACATATTTCTGATGTAATTCCTTGCAAGTGTGAGGAAAATATGTTGAATAAACTCAGTCGTGATCGAAAACCTGATGTAGTTTCGATAGATGCTGATTTTTCTAATGATCATTTATTCTGCAATGATATTCTTAATAAATATGAGGAAAATATTTCAGAAGAAACAAATCTTGATGTCATATCAAATATTATTTGTCCTCATAATGCATTTGTTTCTTGTGGGAAGCTTGTTCAGTGCGAAGCAGGAGTATTCAGTGAGCTCGAGTTTGATTACGATTCGGATGAGTTTGTAGCGTGGCGTCGAGTTGAGATTAACTATGAACACCGCTACCAAGAAACACGTGCCAAGTAAATCAGAAGGCGAAAGTAGAGCGTAACCAGGTTTATTTCGTTGGCGATCTCGTGGTATCGAACGAATACCGAGATCGTGCCAAGGAATGGTACAAGTGGGAGCAGGAGAAAGGAGTGCGTGAGAACAGTACCAAAAACTGAGAAACAATGATGGAAGGTGATGGAAGCACAAAATGGCTATAATTAACACAGTTAAACAAAAGCACATTAAAACAAACACTGGTACAGTTGGTTATAATAATAGTTGTTTTTATTAAACCAGTCGTGTTCTCGTGATAAACGTGAGTCACTACAAGTTCATATCAACTGTTGTTTATCCTTATCACGAAGTCACTTCTATTGTTTACTCTAGTCTATGTGAGATATGCTTTAAATGAAGCCACATCATTCATAACTTGGGGATATTAAGACCCAACAATATTTCGTGGGTGGATTTGACAGCCATATGCTCAATCAGATACTATGGGAAACCTGGAAGTACTGGACTGCTGTTTCATGTTACTATGGGATCTCGTGAGGCCTGATCGTGGATGCGCACTGTTGAGGAGTCCCACAATTGGACGAAACGGCCGTCCAGTACTTCCAGGTTTTCCATAGCAGTCTAGCTTCAATTGACTCATGACCTCAACTATTGAAAAAATACTAATCAAGGTTAAAAGAAAAATAAAAGTCACGAAATAATTAATAACCATTCACTTCAAATTATTGTACCGATTAGATAACTGTTATATCTAGATGGGTTTTTTCTTGATATACCTCGTATAACTTGAGCACCAGAACACTAGAACCCTTCCAAGTCTAAATGAGAAGACAGAAGACTAATGAAAGGAATATTATTCCAGACAGTGTCCATTATAGTACAAAATAGTCAGGTGTTTATAGTTTTTGGGAAGAACGAAATCATCATTACAGTTCTCCAATCCGTATACAGGGGGTTATTAGCATTGTCCAATCGGGAAGCTACACGTAGGAATTCTAGAATATTCTTCCAAAATGTTATTGGATGGAATATCTTCGGTTCGTTCTGAGCCTCTTACAACTTCCTCGAGTTCACCCGTATTCCT